ACAGCTGCGCTCTCTGGTTGAGCTTGCTCCCGAAACTTATTACGACGAGTTTGCTACTATGAGCGGTGATGCTGCTCCAAGGGCATGCCATTCGTTTAGGAGGACTTACGCTGCTCTTTGTGATTTCTATGATCAGCCTTATAGGGATGAAGTGTCTTGGGTACATATAATAAAACGTGTTTTGTCTGCGTACTCATCTAATGATGTTATTTAGGATGTTGAGAAAATATACGCAGTGAACAGGTTGCAATGTTTGCGGATAGAAGACTTTTCACATTTATTACCAAAGTTAGTCTATACAGATCCTGAGTTTTATAGGTCCATTCATAGTCGTTTTAGGGATTTATTGCCGATCACAGGAGTTTTGCAGTATTCATCATACTTTACGGGGTTTGAAGCGGATGGTATTCGAATGACATCTGAATTCATTGACGTAATAATGTCGGTGCTTCGAAAATCACGCTATCTCCATCATCTTCAACTGAGAAATTGTGCTCTTCCGCGGTTAGAGACCTCCGTAAACGTCTGTCTATTTTATGACGAGTGTATATTTTTCCAGCGACTTTGTTACTCTTTTTGCCTCGGCTCTGCAGCAGAATCCAGCGATTCCACTGGAATCTATAGATCTCTCCAAAAATGTTCTCGATGATAAAAAAGGTAAAGACATTTTGGAGATCTCCATGCAGTATATGTGCTCTGTCATAAAACAGTTTGTGGAGTAATTTTTACGAAGGTTTTGTTATACTCTCCAACGTACTTCCACGACTATTTAATCTTCGTCAAATAAATCTTTCGGAATGTGGACTTAGTGAGAAGTGCTCACAACTGCTTTGTTCTGGGATCTATTCGTAAGTTGCTGAATATGTGCTTTGTTACTTTTGTCAAACTATTGAATCTATTTTAGAGGGTTGACAGCAAAATCCAATTGCGGTGCAGTGTCCAACTTGACGCACCTCAACTTGTCTACTAATGTTCTTAAAGATGACGTATGTCCAATTATTTGCCTAGCTTGGGCTCATTTTCAGAATCT